AAGGCCTCGGTGTGAGACACGTGTCCTCGGGTCACAGAGCACAGGAGGCCGGCAGTGCCAGCTGAGGTGTGGGCCCTGAGTGTGTACCCGGGGGCTCCCAGAACAGAGGGGAACCCACAAGGCCAACGTCCACTCCACACACCCCCTGTTGCCCCCAGAACCTCGGCTGTGCCGGCTGCACCCTGAGGAGTTGCCTCACTTCCCCCGACAGGTTCACAGACGACCGTCCACCAGCAGGAGAGCCCCTGTGAGGCCGAGGGCACCCCTGGAGAGGAGACCAGTAAGTGGCCTTTGTCAGAGCCCCCCAGGGTGGGTTTCTCAGCCCAGCCTGCTGACACACCCTCTCTCCCCCAGGCCCGTGGGTCCCCATTTGTCACCCCTTCCCTCGCTCCTCTCGGCTGCCCGACACCACTCATCGTGCCTCCCGTTGAGATGAGTGAGCTCCGCAAGGCTGCGGAAGACCTTCAGGACCCGAGAGACTCCCGGGGCCTGATGGATGTTCAGCAGATGGAGGCTGAGCGGGAGGGGGGCGCATCCCCCTGGTCCTCCTCCTCCTCAGTCTCCTCTTCCTACTCTGCCTGTGCCGTGTCCCTGCTCCATGATGCAGCGCCTTCGATGGTGACTGACCTGGTGGGTTTCCTGCTCCTCAAGTATCACCGGAAGCAGCCGACCACCAGGGCAGAAATGCTGAGTATCTTCCTCAGAGAATACCAGGACCACTTCCCTGCGGTCTTCAGCCAGGCCTCTGAGTACATGCAGCTGGTGTTTGGGGTGGATGTGAAGGAGGTGGATCCCGGGGGCCACTGGTATGTCCTGGTCCCCACCCTGGGCCTCACCTGTGATGGGATGCTGGGCGATGGGCAGAGCATGCCCAAGAACGGCCTCCTGGTGATGCTCCTTTGCATGATCCACCTGGAGGGAGAGCGCCTCCCTGAGGAGGAGGTGTGGGGAGCACTGAGCAAGCTGGGGCTGCGTGCTGGGAGGGAGCACTTCATCTACGGGGAGCCCAGGGAGCTCATCACCAAAGTGTGGGTGCAGGAGGGGTACCTGGAGTACCGGCAGGTGGCCAACAGCGATCCCGCTCGCTTCGAGTTCCTGTGGGGCCCCCGGGCCCACGCGGAGATCAGCAACTTGCAAGTCCTGGAGCATTTACACAGGGCCAGTAGACGGGGTCCCAGTTCCTTCCCATCCCTGTCAGATGAGGCTGCTAGTGATGAGGAAGAGGAGGCCTGAGCCAGACTTGCAGCCGGGCTCCTCCAGGCCCCTGTCCAGCAGCTTCTCCTGCCGGGCAGGAAGGGAGTCCATCCTTCACCCTGTGTTTGGAGAGCGAGCAGTCAGCCTTCTAAGGAGTGAGGCCCCAGGCCAGGTGGAGTATAGTCTTTGTTGGTTAGTATTCCTTACGATTACAAAGAAATTTGTCTCTGTTTTATCAGAAATCTTTTAAGTGCTGATCCTCTTAATAGAAGGAATAAATGTTGTCAGTGTCTCTGTCAGTGACGTCTATCTCTCGTGTATTTTTGCGGATCCATTCAAGTCTAAGAGTTTTCCTATTTTGTAAAGCAACATGATTAACCTTCCAGATTAGTTTGCATTCCTGGACGAGGTAACGTGGTATCTGGATGAAGTTTCCCTGGAAATATGAAAGGAGTTATCGATGGAATTGACGTGGGTCAGTCAATGGAGAAATACATGTAAAAAATATATTGTTTGACCTAATTTTTTCATTCACCTCTGTCATTCTATAAAACAAACAAAACAAAACCAAAAAAACCCATATACATAGACATATCTATCTATCTATCTCTTGGATTTTCTTGGCTAGTAAAGAAAGGAGAAATGTAGTGTGAATCAGTAGGATCCCTGCTCAACATTTCATTTATTCCGCAGATGTTCGCTGAGCCTCTGCTCTCTGGAGGGCTCGGGGTTAGCAGCGGGGACAGTCGGAAAAGCAGGACAGCCCACACCTAGGATAGTCTAGGAGCCGCAGTCACGTCGGGACGTTGGTGAAATGTCTCCTAAGTCCCACAGGGCAAATAAAAATAGGGCGAGGGGTTGGGGGTGCGGGAAAGAGCACCCAAGTGTAAGTGCCCAGCGCCAGGGCAGTTCGGGGCTTTGGGAAGCTGGGGGGACGGGGGTCCTTCTGTGGGAGGTGATGGTAATGAAGCTGGGTGGTGGCGGCAGGCAGACGTGCAGACGGCACTTGTTAGTGGTGAGAGGAACGTGTCAGGTGGGAGGTTGCTCTGAGCAGTCCCTCTGGGATCGTGGATACATCTCCTGGGCGAGAGGGGAAGATGCACTTTGTTCAGGGATGCTTAGAGACCTGGTTATCCTGCCTGAGCTGCTAGGACACTCAGAATGCTCCAGCTGCAGGGAGGAGTGGCGTTTGATGTGGCTCACAGTGTACTCCGTCCTGGCATATATAGTTGAAGAGGTTTGGTAA